CACATTGTGGTACATAATGCATCATGTAAAGAAGTAAAGTTGGAGCGGATTCAACTGCTCAAATACTCAGCCGGATTCTCTGTCTCGAACACTGACCGTCTAACATTGCGTTCAACATCATGTTGAGTTTAAGGCACTAAACCTCATTCAATGACAACTCAAAGTAAAAGTCATACAGAGTGCGGCACAGGATGCGCCTAGGGCACTGAAAACAGACAAGAGCAGAATATTCCGTCAGACAGGAAAAGGCCTTTTAATAAATGTAATTGACAAAGCCAAACACCGCCGGAGTGCAAATTCCCTGTTTGATGGGTGATAGGCGTAATCTGGTGTGCTGAAGTCGTAGTCAACAGCAAAAATGTACGAGGAATTCGTGGTGACCAATGAAAAGTCTATTCACACGACAAAACTGTAGGTCATGCGCCAAAATGCGTACAACACGGAACACAAAACTCATCAAATCAATGTGAACAGCAGCCAAATTAAAACCATGGCAACGTCCGCCTTTTTAGGAAACACTCTCCAGCGCTACGCCAACATCGACGACTAGGTTGCTCGTCGACACCTGAAGACTTCGGGCAGCTCCATGTTCGTCGTCATGATGATATACCTATACGGAGCGAAGACCTCCAGTGTTTAAGCAAGTCATAATAAAAAGCTGAATAAAAAGCTCAAATCTCAAACTCCTACGCGCAATATTAAAACTGAGCTGGCAGAACAGGGCTGCGGACACAACAAGCACTGGAACGCACAGAAACCCTCAGTATTCAGGTCATGCTGCGGCAATATAATCTTCGGCGAATCGGCCACCTGGTAAGGATGGACGACGCTTTCTTACCATAACAAATCTCCTTCGATGATGTCTCCACGTGTGCCTGCCCAACGGTAGGATCAAAACAGCGCTAAAGGACTACTGTAAAAGATTACCGGATATAGTAACATATTAATCCACTGATCTGTGGAGACCTCGCACAGACTAGACTGGCATGGAGTCGAGCAGTGAATGCTAGTGCAGCCATCTACGACGAAAACATGAATTTGCGCCTTCAAAGACATAAGGCTTGCTAACCACTACCTGGCAACTCCGATTAACAACATCCGCACTTAACCCCACTCACTGTGCATTTCTGAAATCTGTCAGTTTTTTAGATATTTATGAATACCGCCGAATGCTGAACAGATGCCTATTTCTCGGCGTTGTTGACAATTACGTCACCTGGGTTGCAAGGGTTTATAGGATAATAGCTCCGAAGAAACGTCTGCTACTCACAAGTACATTATTTGGTGATCACGACAGAGCAGAAATCGGGCTAGACCGTCATGCGTTACCTTTCAAAATTTTGCATAGGAAAAAATACGACGCGGACAGCGCAGCACTATTAATTATGCCTAAGTTCTTAGCAACAGTACATTCTAATCAGCACATTTGAATGTTCACCGTGTTGCTTCAGTAGTCGGAGACGCTTTCTGTTCATTGCTGTCTTGCCCAAATATAAATCTTCCCATGAAGACCGCGTAGTCCAGAGGAAACGGTCATCCCGGGCTACGAAGCAACATAAAGTGAGAAAGGTTGGTGGCAAAAATTCAAACTGTTGACTCAGTGAGAAGTTTAACATTTTATTATCATTTCCAGCCCTTAAAGGCAGGTGTAGGTAAGTAGGCCAAGAGACAATTTTTTGCATCGCAAATTGTCAGTGCGTCTTACTTTCCGTCTCAGTTCATAATGCACCCCATTGCGTATATTTAAGCCACCGTAATAAAATATGTCTACAACTATCAACCGTAAAAATTGCTAACATTAGCATGTATCTTCACAAGTATGCCGTCTGGTTTTCTTTTTTTCAATGTAACCACCTGTGTGTATTCACTGAATGTGCACTGATTCCGAACCCTCAATTTGTTAAAGAGCTTGGCCATAATAACCTGATAGGACCCGTTCCCTCCGGTGCCAACCACCTTTCGAAACTTTTTTACTGGGCATCATAGGATGCACATCTTTTTTAATAGGTATCATGCATGACCATTAATAGCGGGTTCCTCATAAGAAATAAATACATCTTGCAATGTGAAGAAAAATAACTGGCAGAATACAATCCATGGATATGCGCACGTAAGAAAATATTTATCGTTACTGTGCTCCACAGATGGGCACAGCACTGACCGCAAACGAAATTAATTTACGTTTAATACTGACTGACATATAAACAGTGGGAATAAATTAAATGATCTCATGATGGGTAAACGAACTGAATATTTCAACAGTAATCACAACGTAAAGCAATTGTTGAATGTCATGTTTTTATTGCTTACTGGGATATTTTCAAGGCAGACTGCGAGAATGACGTTCTTGTCCTCAATGATGTCGCCCTGAAAAGAATTAGAAATTTTAATATTAAATCAATAATCCGGTAAAAAGGATTTTGTTAACAGTTGCTAGCACAGGGGTATTAATTACTACACTAAAAAGATTAATTTTGGATCGATATATAAGTGGCACGCACACCTGCAGACAGCTGACATGCTAATTTATATATCTTTTTCCAAGTTGTGCATGTGCGTCGACATATTAACGTATACACTGACGACCAAAGCAAGCCCCTTTCATAAAGCGGCAGTGAATATGTAGGAAATGGATTTTTCCTCGGAACAAGACATTTAGGGCGATACTATATTTAGTGTAAATGTGCTCTGAATATTTGATGGGAGGCACTATAGTCTTGGAAACTTGCAACAGGCATGTTCACCAAGAAGATATTACAACTATGTTTTCCAAAATTCGTTTTTCGTTATTTTCAAGAAGAAACAAGCAACGCAACAACATTCGTAGCCTTAGCAATTGAATCATAACCAGCATGATTTGTGTCTAAATTTTTCTCCACTCCAGGCCATGACCTGTTCGTTCATTCCCCAGTTAGGTCATTGGACTGCCAGTTTATACCACATACATCGACCTCAACTTTATTCATTTATCTGGCATTGCGCGTGTAGACGTAACGTGCACCATTGATGAGGAAAAAAAAGATATGATCGTCGGAACAAGAGCCTTATTAGCCTGGCGTTTCGGATTCCTGCTCGAATCCATCATCTGAGACAAGCGCTGAGAAGGGTGGTTTGTGCAAATGCGGCTGCAGTATTAATTTGATGCAGTAGCCATGCTGCCGCATGCCTATGAAAATTCGCTGCAACCCCCCCCCCCACCCTTCATCAGGGATCGTTGCACGTGGTGTGCTGGCCGACATTTGCGTCCTTATTACTGCAATTTTATCACGTGCGTTGGATGCTGGTGCGATGATTGGTCGACCATCTGACGCACCGACCCTGGTGATGGGAAGAGTGTTCACCTGTGCGCTCCCCGCATGGCCAATTACTCCGCCTACGTGAATTCTCAGCACGGAGTATTGAATGGGACGATCATTGCACTTGCTAATAGACTGGGGGCCAGTAATCTATGACTTAAGCAGTTCCCGGCTCACGCAGTTGTCACCTCTTGCGAGAATTTTGGCCTCGTCAAATTTGAATGTGTGGTTGAAACCCGTAGAATGAGCCAGCATGAATTGTGACTAAATCCTTCTGCACTCCAGGCCATGACATGTTCGTTGTTTTCCGTGTGATGTCATTGGACGGCTAGTTTACACCATATACACTGGCCTGCACTTTATCCATTTATCTGGAATTGAGCATGTAGAAGTAACGCGCACCAGCTGACGGATATGGCCACACAGTACCCCTGCAATGTTTTCGCGCCCCCAATATCCAAAAATCGGATCTTGATGGATATTCGTATAAGATGGATACTTGTTGATCATCTTATTTGCTGCCTCCAGGACGGTCCTTCATAATAGGTTAATACTTTACTCAATTCATTGGTTTGTTGTTGTGCTTGTTAGTGATTACTCATTGGATGTTTTAAACAAACTGTTCAGCGATTCGTTTGACGCGTCCACCTACATAAAATACCACACAGGAGAGTATTTTTAAGATGAAATAGCGGCAGGCAGCAATTAGAGGCGTTAAAATGACTGCGAAGTTGTTGCTATTGATTTGTTATCTAGGAAAGGCATTTACCTGCGGTTCACAGAACGGTAACGAAAAATTTAACTTTTATAACTTACATTCTTACATGCATAACTGTATTTATTAGGGCTTAGTATAAAAATTGTTATTTTGCATACACCGCATTTTGTTATCAATTTTTAGTCCCACCTTTAACTATGCAGTCACGTTTAGTAGATGCATTGCGCTAAGGCCTTTAGCAGAACTGCTGAATTTGCTTTATATGAGCTATTCTTAAAGAAGCTGTAGTGGGCGTTTTGTAAGATGCAAGATGTTTCCCATAGAAATTAGATTGAACTAACGACTTTGCTCTAAATTGATCTTATCAGAGAGTTAATAATGGCATAATAAATATGTTTTGCTTTTACAATAGCGGAAATGCCGAGAGTAAAGCACACTAACTATTCAAATTGCGCTAACAATGGCACATGCCGAAAAGTTCCTCGAAATGCCCATTTTGCCTAAATGAATGTCCTCTGATTAAAAAATTTTGGACAGCGACGTTTCAGTAATTGAATCCATTCGTATGCCATGTGGATCGAGTATGTACAAACAAACAATCAAAGAACAACTATTGTCCGTTTATTTGCAAATATATTTTGCACTTGACATTTATTATGAATAATAAATACCGAAGGTAAAAGTGAATGCATGTGGCATGTATCGTAAATCAATATATGTCTACCTCAACTGTGCAAATGACCGACAACAAAGGTATGGATAATATTCTAATACAAAACTTTTGGCCTATTAATTGTCCCACAATTTGTACAAGTCGAATTAAATTCGGCACTGCATATTCCATAATTTATTTTTACTTTCGTGTAGAAAATCGTCCCAGAATTCCAGAACTAGACATTGTTGGGAATTTTCTTCACCGTGGCTTCGCAGCTCTGAACGATTTGCTAAGTTCAAGAAGGGATCACTCATCATCATTCTCTTTAACTATGGCTTTCGCTAATATTAGACGTGTAAATCACTGCCGTTTGCATCGCCTCGATACTACAGAAGAATATAGCTGCGATGACTTAACCATCGGAACATACTTTAATGTGCAACATGTAAGTCGGTTTCTTTTACGACCAACCACATGTAAACGCTTTGCATTTCCATGGTTGTTTTTGAAGCACATTTCGTTTTCAACAAATTTGTACTTTTCTTCAGAGTACGGACTTGGAAAGAAATTCCCAGACAATGAGGGTGATACATTTTGCTGATGTCAATGTAAACATTTCTGGCCGAATGCATATTGGCAGTGCATCTCAGAGCTGCGTAATCGACAGGCTGCTTTTCACTATTGAGACAGAACAAAACATTGCAGATATCTACTTACCCTTGGTCTATATTCCAGTGGACTTACTGAGAAAAACGTTTAAAATGAACCTTGAATACTTGCAGGAAATAATGCGGACGGTCTGCTAGGTACTGGTTATTTGTAATGGAAAATCCATAAAATTAAAACGATTCCTATTACTTTAAAATTGTAAGCAATTTGCTGGTGTCAGTATATATGTTTTGTTTGTGGCCATAGTAGGAAAGTAAACCCCTAATTTCCTTCGCTTAATTATCCATTTGAATAAGAAACAGTTGTTGTGTGATTCATTTAGTTGACGTAAGGCACACATCATCATAGGGCGCATTTATTGCATTTTCCTAACTAACGGGGTGAAATAGCAGATCTAAATCTGCAATAAAGAGCTAAGTATGCTGCATTAAATCATAGAGTGCAAAGAGCTGATGATTTATTTAGAAAGTTATTTAAGAAATACTGTCCCTATAGAAGCATATTACAGATAATAATTTGTTGATGATCGAAGCAAACAGGCGAGTTCCAGGTTGCAATTAACAAGACGAAGATGCGATCACATGAACAAAAAATATATTGGTCTAAAGTTTCAGACTCTCACTCTAATCCATCATCAGAGACAAATTGTTGAAACCTGACAGTCTGACTGCCGTAGCTGATGATGTAGACGTATGCTCCATAGAACATTTTTAGCAGGAAAGGCGACTTGCGGGTTAGTTCGAAGTGATAATAGACTTTCACTGCATCCAGCTTCCTCTCCTTCCATACACCACCTGGACACGGCAGACTCAAGACAGAATCATGAATAACAGGGGCGGGAGATGGAGCAGGTGGATGGCATGATGCAAACTCCCATCTAGGCAATGCACACTGATCAAGAATTTTCACCTAGAAAGCGGTGGACTTGGATTCCAGTTGGGGCTAAAGTTGGGCGTACCAACACATCCGCAATAGTAGTATAATTTATAGGTGCGCATTCAGAAAAACGACAGCGGTACTCAAATATAGTCACTGTTTTGATCCAGTGCAGCCAAATGTGCAACAGTTAAAAGGAGCAAAATATCAACATAATTAATAATACGTCATAAATGCTAAGTTATCTAGAGAGGGGAAACTTCATTTCAACTGTTTACGTAAAGCAGACCAAAGATAAGTTTTGTGTTATTTTCCACAAAAAGTAAGCATTTGTATGTTGGTTGGCGTTGTTGTACATATGCATTTGCCTGACCCTACTCCCACTTATGCATGAGTCTGTACCCCTAGTCACATTTAGATTTATGCTTCAGCGCGTAACACACAATTGGGGTAGTTTTACTCGGTAAAGCAAATACCATCTGCTACCTATAAAATTGCTTAAACAACTTTAGACTTCCACAAAACCTTTGCCTGCAACGAGCATAATCATCTTGTCACGTAACGGAAGGAATCAGTAAGTCGATACTACTTTTGAATATGACATGGTATATAGACAACCATCAAAAACATAGGTTTACACATGCCTGGGATTCACTAGCCAAAGCAGAATTTTCAAACAGTTAGTATGTGCAGACCAGTGTAAAAAGCCACCTTACATATAACTTAAATCTGAACAAAAAGTCTCTTACATTTAAAAGCATACAATGCCTACCCTTTAGACGAAGTAATACAGAACGTGACGAAACTCATGATATGTTAGCCAAAATTCGGAAGTGCCTTTGGATGAGGACGAATAACTTAAGTGTAGTTACAACATAAATTACCATGCGGCATAAATCTGCAGTATTTTGGGCGCTGCAGAATGTCGGCTTTTGATTGGAATTCCTTGCTGTTCCCTGCAGAAAACATACCAGATAAAAAAGAATACTTGGATAGTCACATTGTCCAATTTGTGTTCGATATTCATCTGTATTAAAATATATTTTAGAGAAAACATGTACGAAATATGCTTTCCGTGTCTCATTTAGCAGAAAACTGAATTTTTCTTACATTGCATTCTCGGACAAAATTAATTTTCAGATTTTGGAAAAGTTCCCTGATTCTCATATAATTTGAAGCCACATCAGCCGTTCCATTAGCGTTTAGCGATTTCGCCTTCAAGGTGCATACTTTTTGTGCGCAAATAATCCTGTATTCATCGATGTCTTTAAGAAGATATCATATTGGGTTCAGACAATTTTGCTTCGGTACATTTTATAAGGAACACTAATAAACGAACATTTCCAATGCAGTATGTATGGGCATCACACTGTATTAAAAAGCTCATAAGTCGAAACGTTTTAACGCCGAAATCTAACCCTTCTTAGGGTATAAAGTGTGAAGACAATGTGACTTTCTGCCCGACTTATTAACGTAAGGGTATTTTTGTGCATGCTTATGTAAGGTAATTTTAAAGTCATATGACATCTCAAAAGACAACCACCACTTTATGATATCTGTCATTTACTGTAATTAACATCAGGTTTCTTAAAAGCTACAAGTTTTAGTATATTTACGGCCCTATTCAAACTGCGCTTTTGTATTTACCGTGCCTAGCTGATCTGTTATGCGGGGCAAAAAGGATATAAATATATGATGCATGGATTTATTGGTAACGGTTTGTACGAATGCACGAAGTCCCTAGCTGTTTGCCTCTTTTACTCAAACTAGGTGTCCCTTGAATAAAGTAATCTCGTCCACAAACCATAATCTCACCAGATTTCTTCATGTCTTCGAAATAAAGCCATTTCCTTTTTGCCTATGAACGACACAAAGTTAACTGCAAGAATCCTATTCAGCACCAGTCCACCGAAGCAGCAAAATTACTCGTGTCTGTTCATTGATGTGATTAAACGTGCAACGCCCGACGGGACTCGTAGTTTAAGTGGTTAGAGCTTTGGCTGCATTAAAGCCTTCCCCCTACGGCGTAGGTTCGAAATCCACCAAGGCGCCGAGTTTTTCATAGTTGGATCAATATGACTTCATGTTTCACTTTGGACTGCACGCATTGGCGTGTGGCTGTACAAGATGGATCCTAAATGTACAGATCCGGTTAAGTGCACCGAACGGACATCACCTATTCCGCTTGACGATAGTTTACTCACTCCATTTTCAAAAGCAAACGCCGAAATCTCTCTCATAGCTAAGTGGAGATTGACTGTGCTTTAAGATACTTATAAGTATATTTGTCCGCTAAAGCTGACGTCCTCTCAGGAGATGTTAATACTTTTGCAAATCTGCCTGCGAAAACAGTCGGATTTAGGAGAGCTGGGTGTTTTGTTTTCAATTCAATTTGATCAAATCCTGTTGGCTATTGCATTAAGTATCAACCTGGATGTTTTCCAAAATGTGTAAAACACAACGTGGAAATTGTTTCTATGACAGCTAACAGTTACAGTTTTGCCAAAGTTGTAGGAATATTGTTTTAAAACGGTATAACGTATTAATGAAGAAAAACAATAACGCGTGCATTTTCGAAACATCTGACAGTGTCATTGTCACTTGCAGCCGGTTTCCGGTTTTCTAGTTGTTTTTGTATTTTGACGATCAAAATGGCACTCAGTTTGATACTTCCGAGAGGTTAGAAATGTGCGCAATGAATTAAGCACGGACAAAGACAAGGCAGACCGGAATGTCAAAACCCGGCTTATAAGCCGTCATTGGCCTGCCATACCCAATCCCATGTGTGAACTATTTGATCACTGAGCCGAACTGTCGGCCAAAGAGTTCCGAACTCGTCGTCTGGTCAGTTATGATTAGGCTTGCTAATTGTGATTAACGGGCGCTTATCGGTTAAGCTTTGGATTGGATATGACTGGTTAATGACGATTTATAAGCCAGAGCTGAGCATTATGGTCGCTATTCCCTTTGTTGTTACTGCAATATCTGCATATATCTACTTGTCGTTAAGGGAATGCCCTCGGGGGTTCATGATGGGGAACCAAGGCAAAAACAGTCGAGAATTTTTCGTAACTTGATCGGGAAGTCTCGTTTTATGTGTGGTTACGTAACCGTTTAATCGAGTAAATCCCGGATATATGCTAAATGAAGACAAGGTACGGTGAATGAAAACTAAGAAAAGGTTGAAAGAGGGTGTAAATATTCAGACACAATAAACACTTTTAAAATATTTCCTAGTCATATCCCTGCTGCTGCAATAACCTTTTATCGAAAATATTGTCGTGTCATCTCCACAAAGACATTATCGCCTATAATTAGTTCATATTCGCAAGTCCTGAAGGCATAATATTAGAAGATTAGATTTGAAGTTGTTCTCACTAGACTTCTGTGTCATAATATGCATTCTACTTTTGTGCGCAGAAATCGACAGGCGGTTGATTTTTATCCATCTTGGTTTAAAATCTCGTCTGCATATTTTCCAAAATCTTTCTTATTCAGGCAATCATAGTTGGTTATGTATTTTCACCCGAGAGTATCTGGCCAAGAACAAACAGACCTGATGAGGGACAGTTAAAGCTGGCTTAGCCATCTACGAGGCCAGCCGGGCTGTCGCCGCTAAAGCCAAAAGACAGGCTCGCATGTTTCAACTAACACAAACTCAAACACGCTCAACGTGTCCATGCTGTCAACGAGTATTTCGACCACATAATGACATCTCGCATTCCTCCCTCCCTCATCAGATACCACGTCATTCACTATCTCCACTATGAACCTCAACGCCGCCAGCAATGTGGACTCGGCCTCAGCCTGTCCCCATTGTGATTGCACATTCAGCTCACACACCGGTGTGAACAATCACTTGCGAATCCTGCAGATGGCGACTGGAAGATAAGTGTATGCAGTACTAACATCTACCAGACGCACTCAATCTAAATGTGCTTCTTAACACCTCCATGCATCGTCGAAACCTGAGAATATCATATTTAACCCAACTCTCTGGCTTGGAAGTTTGCATACTGACGTCTCAAGTCAGTCCACGCAGCTCACCTAGTTGCTAATGTTTGTGTAGAGTGGTGAAATGATGTGCTGAGAAACGGAATGCAGCGGCTCCTTCTTTACGTGTCCTCTTACCCTCGCACGCATGTAAGATGACTGCGCTTACACTTGTTATGTAAAGAGTTGATGCTTGTGTTTAAGGTTTAGGTCATGCATTTAGTGTACGCTGACGATGTCAATAAACATATTAGCCACTACGTGTGAT